TCTCTCTAATTCTCTCTCTCTCTCTCTCTCTCTCTCTCTCTCGCTCGCTCGCTCTCTCTCTCTCGCTCGCTCTCTCTCTCTCTCTTTGGCAAAGAAAGTTTGCCACATTGTCCGGAGGTCACTTGAGGGACTGATGGGCGTGGGGTGTAAAAAAAGACACGTTTTTGAGGAAACGATTTCTTGAATTTCATATTAAAAAAAAAACAATTAACGTGTATTTTATCTACGTTTTTCAAAAGTTTTTTAACGTATTTGTTGAAGCTTGTGATCACATTCGGGAAGTCAAGATAGAAGCATAGGAGGTAGCATTTTCGATTTTTTTTTGGTTTTTAATTTGAACCGAACGTACGGTGGTTCCGCCCGCTGTGAGCAAGGGAAAAAAAGGGTTGGACGGGGTGGTAGTCTGAAAATCGACCGACCTACGGACTAGTAAGATGGGTGAGCGTGTGAGGAGAACGCTAGACTGGGCTATCTGGGGTATGTGCGTGAAGGAGACGGACAACAGGGTGTGGGCCGACGGGATACCAGAGGGGACGGACGGGCGGGCGGGGGGATGGGGGGGGGGGGGGGAGGGAGCTTCCGTCCGAGGTGGGCCAGTCGCTGGTAATCGGAATGAAGGGAGGAGAAGTAGGTGGTGGTCCCGGAGTTCGGCGTCTAACAAAGTCTAACCTTTGGAAGATGGCCGATCGGATTCATCGAGCCATAGCCGTTTGAGTTTCGTCGTCTTCATCTGTGTCCGGATTTATTTTGGAAAGTCCTTCGGGACATCCGTTAAAATTGGAACGATTAAAAAAAAAATAAAGAAAAATGGAACGATACAGAGAATGAAGATTAGCATGGCCCCTGCGCAAGGATGACACGCATAAATCGAGAAATGGATTTATTTTGGAAATGCTCCGGATTGAAGGGTGGCAGGCGCTCATAAAGGCCATCGCCACACCACACCACTGTAGAAACGACAAAGGAACGAATGCATCTTCCTGCGGAGAAGGGCAAGATGCATCCGTTGTTATCAATAGCAATGGATGCATCCTACCACTTTTTGTGGCAGATGCATTCGTTTGCTTTTCGTTGGACTCAGGTGTGGCAAGGCCCATAGTACGTACCGCGAAGAGAGGAGAGATGGCGATGACAAAATGCCAAGAAAGTGAAGATCTGGAGGGAGAGGCATATTACGGATCTTACGAGGAACATGGACAGAGTGTGCCGACAGATACGGTTTGGGTGAATACGACAATACGGGAGCGTGGAACGTAGAAAGTAGGATGCAGACCGGAGCTGGCATAGGGCCTAGTTGCACTACGCGCCATCCGTCACATTTCGTGGCGGATGTGGAGAGTGAAAAAAGTGAGGGCACACGGGGACCAAAAGAACCAAAAATTTGAGGCATCTGGGTACGGTTATTTGGGTCATTTGGTCCCTGTGTGGTCACACGTGCGGACTTCGTCCAGAAAGGACGAAGTAGCAACCCTGACACTTTGCACTCAGGGCAAGGTCGTGTGGTCACACGAGGGGACACCAAAGAAAAGAAAAAGAAAAAAAAGAAAAAAGAAAAGAAAAAAAACTTCGGCTGGTTGTCTTATTCTTCTACGATTTTCTACAAATTGAGGAAAGGAAACGAAAAAAGCTTTTGGTCATTTGAGACCACCTCTGGAGGTGGTCTCAAAAAGGGTACCCCCGCGGCCTCGCAGGCCGCTGACATTTGGTCACCATTTGAGGCATTTGGGTACAGGGCCAACCCCGTGTGACGTCAAAAATGCCTCAAATTTTGGGATTTTGGTTCATTTGGTCCCCGTGTGAGTATGCCCTCAGAATCGCGTCGAACTCGAGTCCTGGTTGGCAGTGGTTGCACTTACTCGCCATTACATTTCTTTTACAGAAAAGTTGAAAAATTTTGTCTGCCTGATTTCAACTCGTGAAGCCGTGCACTCTCCAGAACGCTGTTTTGTGGAGAGGTCCGAGGACCACTCTTTACAAACCGCCGTGCACAGGCGGGGAAACCGAATTCACTCTCCACAACTTGTGTCGACTGAGTGGCGAGCCGTCTGACACATTTTGCATTCTTCAAGTTTGGCGAGTAAGTGCAACCAGGCACCTACTCGCCAAACTTGGCCTATGGAGAGTAGTGCAACTAGGCCCATAGCCAAAGATCCCAGTTTTTCCACTTCTGGAATTGTTCAGTTATGGACGCTGGACCTGTTTTTCCCATTAGGGCCTAGTTGCACTATCGCCATAGGCCAAGTTTGGGGAGTAGGCGCCTGGTTGCACTTACTCGCCAAACTTGAAGAATGCAAAATGTGTCAGACGGCTCGAGAGTGAATTCAGTTTCCCCGCCTATGCATGGCGGTTTGTGGAGGGTGGTCTTCCGACCTCGCCACAAAACAGCTTTCTGGAGAGTGCAGGGCTTCACGAGTCGACATGGGGGAGACAATTTTTTTTAACGTTTCTGTAGAAGAAATCTCGTGGCGAGTACGTGCAACCAGGCCTCGAGTTCGACACGATTCTCATATTTTTCACTCTCCACGGATCCACCATGAAATGTGACGGATGGTGAGTAGTGCAACTAGGCCCTTAGGCGCTGCTCCCCACCCCTAGAGTGGAGCATCCCGAACGTGCACTAGGGGAGGTTGCTCCTACCCCCCCCCGGTAGTGACGTAGTCCTGGCTTCCAAAAAAAAAAAAAAAAAAAAAGGAAAAGGCTTTGTCAGATTACAGTCAGGTAGAAGTCTCTCACGGCCCTCTGGTCCTTTGGAGAGTCAGAGATAGCGATCCCAGAGGAGGCGGGCAAGATAATGGGGCTCTCTGCACTTCTCTCGGCATGCACAAAAGACAAAAATCATGGCCGTGCATCTTTCCATATTCTAGCCGAAGATTCACTCTCGTTTTGCACATTTCGAGAGTACTGCAGCGAGGCCCAATATATTTAAGGAGCAACAAGGGCCGTAGGGAAATCATCCCATCGTTGCAATGATTGCATTCCTCGTGTATACGGCGTACGGCTACAGCAAAACCCGTCTGGGGCCTCTGGGCAGGCCGTACGAAAGAGGAGTGGCTTATATGCTTAGAAGGTTGAAGAGAGAGAGAGAGAGAGAGAGAGAGAGAGAGAGAGAGAGAGAGAGAGAGAGAGAGAGAGGAGTGGCTTCTGTGCGTAGAGGAGTGGCACATACTATGAGGCCATATATGCCAAAAACCCTGCTGACCGGGGTAGGTTACCCACAGATGCAGCAAGTGCTCATCTCCCTGTGGACATACTAGACAGAGCCACTGGGTCAGCAGTGTCATATCTACTTTTGGTACAGCATCACTCCGCACTGTCCGCTGTTGGAACAGCAGGAAATCGGTCTTTGTCCATTGACCCAGTGCTTGGTGTCCTGAAGTCGTCCCCCTCTTTGGCCATCTGGATTTCAACTCATGTCCTGAATGTCAAGGACTGAATCGGATGTGGTGTCTCTTCACTGTCTCGCATTTGGAACTCGGCAGATTTTTTTGCGTCCATTTGGCGGCATTTGGCAGAAGTTTTCGGTTGATTTGGCGGAATTCGTTTGCGTCCATTTGGCGGAATTTTTTGGTCAATTTGGCGGAATTTTTTGGTCTATTTGGCGGAATTTTTGCGTCCATTTGGCGTAATCTTTGGGTCTATTGTCTTTTGCTAGAGGCATTGATCGTAGTAGGACGTTGACTTGGATATTTAAGCGAGAAAGCCCTCGTAGGTGATTTTCTCTTGAATACGTGCTTCAGAATCTCTAGTCCCCCCTGACGGTACGGTAAAGGTAACCGCTTCTGGCAGAGGGATGAAACGTACTGTAGGCGCCGAAGGCGCCATACGAACACTCCAGAATGGTACGGACTTTTTTGTTCTCTTCACATCATTTCAGTGCCTGATTTCCGCAGCTGATTTCCGCAAACGTTCGCCAGCTCTATGGCTATCTGTGTGTGCGAGTCTTCTCGCTCGCTTGCAGATGGTTCCATATGTCCTTGTTTTGCCTTTTTTGTGTGTGCAAAGCCAAGGGTAAGCTTCTTCCCCCGAATACAACGTAGGGTCATTAGAGCTGTATCTAGACTGAAAGATGCCTCAAATGCAGCTATAATGACCGTACGTTGTATTCGGGGGAAGCAGGTATTCACTCGCCCATCTCATGCCATCCCATTGTCGCCCGAGTGGCTTTCATGCTTGCATACCTATCCCATGTATTCACAGAGCTGAAATTAGAAAACCCGAAAAGGTCAAATTGCAGATAATTCTATAGTGCCGTTTTTGAAATGAATCTGAGCAATTATACTGGTCTGTGCACACTGCACTTATCCCGACAAAAAAGGCAGGCAGGTTTGTTTTTTTGTGAGCAGCCCAGGCTTTTTAGAGAATCTGTTGCCCAACTGCGATTTTGGACAGTTCCTGTTATTATTAATGGAGAAAAGATTGGACATTCTTCTTGTAGGTATGAATTTTTGCT